ATCTTTAGTCTGACTTTAATAGTGACTGTAATTAGAAATATTTCTTTTTATTCCAGTCATGTGATCATATTGTTTACATTTCACTTTATTGAATATCACTTTTGGACGTTGCTATAACGGAACTGACCGGGAAGTATCAGCGTTTCTTCTCATATCATATTAACAACTTCATTCATGGTTCAGACGATGTTGCTTATAATTAACAACTCCGCCTCTTTCACAGGAACGCGCTCGTAACCGGACAGGTAAACCCAGGGTTAACTGAGCCAGCTGATAACCAGCTTCGTAGTACAGGTTGTCCAGGAGGGACAATGCTAGGTTCAGTTAACCCAGATAACTAAAAGTTATCCTGGGTATGCTGAACTTGCTTCATAGTACAGGCCTCTGGTGTGAAATCATCCTCTGTTCCTGAGTATTGGCCTGAAAAGTGTTTTAGCAGAACATTATGATGTCACAGTGAAGTTGACCTTTGACCTTTTGAATATAAAACTTCATCACTTCATTTTATCCTGTTTCACATTTATGCGAAATTGTTTCATAATTAGTGCATGGATTCTTGAGTTGTGGCCAAAAACTTGTTTTGTGAGGGTTAGGTTGTGAAGTCACAGTGACCTTTGACCCCCAAAATATAGTTCATCTTTGAGTCCAATTGGATGTTTGGGCCAAATCTGAAAAAAGAGGAGAGGAGAAAAGAAGGAAACAAGGAAGGAGAGGAGAGGAGACAGATAGGAGGAGAGGAGGAGGAAGGATGCTGTGTTTGAGAATACCTGGAGAGTGGGAATATTCATGTATTCAAGGACAGTGTTAAACCTCACACCTTGTAAGATGAAACAATCTCACCTGGTCTGAACTGCAACTGTCACAGGTTTTTTTTCTCTAAGCTACTAATCAGTAATCAATACTTCAATCAATAATCACAATAAACTGATTTCCCTCAGGAGCTGATGGAGACCAAACACAGAGCAAGAGAGGGAACAGTGAACTGAGACTGATCAGGTGACACTGACATCTCAACACATGAATTATCATATTTCTGCTGGATGTGAAATAGAAACCATTTTATCATATGATCTGTCACATGTTGAGTTCACAGCCTATTGTGGTGCTTTCAAGTGACTGAAGATCAGTTCACTGGAAATGATTACTATGGAGAAAAAAGTTATAATTCAGACTTTTATCACTAACCTTGAGGACACATTGGGGTCACAACTTTTGATCAAATCCTGGCTGAACAGCAACAGGATCTGACTGGTTCACAGAGGCCAACTGGTCAACACAGAGACCCAGCTGCAACAGTCTGGCTGAGACCAGGTGATCCAGTGCTGAGTGGACTGACAATGAACTGGTCTGACAGTGAACTGGACTGACAGTGAGCTGGACTGAGCTGGTCTGAACTGGTTTGACAGTGAACTGGACTGACACAGAACTGGTCTGAACTGCTCTGACAGTGAGTTCGTCTGAACTGGACTGAACTGGACTGACAGTCTTCTTTGCAGACTGCTGCCCTGCTTGTTACCTGAGCCTGATTCTTCACCTGTAGTTTCTCACTGGTGGCCCCTGGTGGCAGTGAAAGGTACTTAAGTATTAAGGACATCAGTAAACTGTTTTTTTTCCATGCTCACCTGAACAGAGCAAAGCTCACCCAGTGTAGTTACACAGGATTCATCATCATGCTATGGAGGGAATTTGACTAATAGCATTTTCACATTCATATTTAGTATATTGTACTGACAGGACACTGCAGCACCATTATGTTTGCATGGTGTGAACCTAATGTCTCTTTTCTACAGAGACTCATGGTCCCGTTGTGTGAACAAGATTAATTTTTTAATGCTAATTACTTTAGTCATTATCCTGTGGCCACAACATCTGTAAATAGTCCATACACACTAATTTTTGTGCACAAGATAAAAGGGTAAATTTTAGTGTAATGCAGAAGTCTTGTTTGTACAGACACAAGGTAACTTATAACACAAAAAAAAATGTTATTGTCTGTTATGCGGAAGATAATAATTTTAGTGTACAACACAACTTTTGCACACATTTTATCCATTTTTGTGCACAACATTATTTCCTCTGTGCAGAATTTAATTTCAGACGCAAGTTAAGTTTTGAGCACAATTTATCACCTTACATGCACTAGATAGGAACCTCAAGTGTGTTCAGGAAAATTACTGTTGCACACAAGTTAATAACTTATGCACATAACTTTACTTTTTATTAGCTACTGTGTACAAGATATAAAATGACCATCTTCTCAACCTACTCGTAAATGAGGAATGTTTGTGTGTTCATTTTAGCTTATCAGGGACTCTTTGCTGTTGACAATCACAAGTCTGAGTGGTGTTCCACAGGGCTGGTTTCTGGGGCCTCTGTTATTCAACATGTGCTGCCTTCACAGCAGATCCTGCAGGATAATGAGACTGCTTACCATCGCATCAGATTTACCTCTGTCACCGCTGTACCACAGATATACTGTGTGTGAAAACAACAACCAACAGGAAAGACTTAAAGTTCCTGTTTGACTAAAGGTCCAGAATTATTAACAAACAGATGAAATGATAGAGTTTATATGGAGAGAAGTCACTGAGCACAGACTGCGAGAGCTTCTGGTTAAAAGACTTTATGATGACTCTACTGTACAGTGAATTATAGTGAAGAACCTTCACAGACGGGGGAGGAGCTGCCATCTGAAGGGAAACCATCCATGTCAACGTTGCATAAAGAAATCCAACATCAGAATAAAGCAGAGCAGCAAGATACAGAGAAACTCAAAACTCACAGTTCAAAGGTTCTGAACGGAGAGAGGAGTAAGGTCAAAGGTCATGAAGCCCAGAAGAACAACACACTGATCACATTTCCACCTAGCAGGAGAGTGTGTGGCACTTTGATGGTGTGAGAAACCTCTGAGTGAGTGAGAGTGTGTGTGTGTGTGTGTGTGTGTGTGTGTGTGTGTGTGTGTGTGTGTGTGTGTGTGTGTGAGTGTGTGTTGGTTTGTGGAGGGTTAGTGTCCTGTGGTCTGTTTGCATCTTTGTTAAAACCAGTTTCAACTTCTTTCGGTGTCTTTTAGTCTTAATGCTACATGATATATATATATATGTATATATATATATATACACATATATACGTGTGTGTATATATATATATATATATATATATACACACATATATTTACGAGTGTGTGTGTCTGTGTGTACTTTCTGTGTGTGTTTTCACTAATTGCACTTGAGGATGTGGATATGGAGATTACATTGCCAGACAGATGTCTCTAGGTTATTTGGCATTTTTCTGGAAATGCTTGGGACAAAAACAACAAAAACTGGGACTGACTCGCCTTCAACACGACCAGCTCAGGACCAGCTCCCATGATGCTTAGTCATGAGTGCACAACAGCAGATGTTTGTTTGCCAAGTATCGTATTGCAGCTTTTTGGCTGGACGGCAACAGCAGTATAAATGTGAAAGACAGACTGAATGAGTGAGTGATGGAGTTACACATCATTGGTCGGCCAGCTGAGTGTTGGAGTTTATCCATCCGTGATTGCTCTTTCAAAATGATTTGGTGCAATTAAGTAGTGTTGAAAACTTGGCCCGTCACTAGATATACTGGCTTTTCAAATCCTTTAGCAACTTTTTTTCAAAACAGTACCAAGCGACAAATCTTAGCTATGTCTGTAGATGAGTCGTCAGTACTGCTTCTAACTTTCTCTGAAACCAGCTGATACTGCTAACAGTCCAGCCATATACTAGTTTTAGACCTAGTCTTGTTAGAAATACTGCTGAAACTAAACTAGCAGAAGAAGAAGTCCCACTGGGAGATCTCGTCTTAAAATTCTGACACTGAATTTTGCTGCAAGCTCTTTAGAGGCCAGCACTCTAAACTGTGTTGCTTTAGAGTGAACGTGGCGTTGAACAGGGACACTGGGTTGTTGGAGAGATCATGGAGTCAGTGAGATGCAGCCAGGAGGAGGATATGATGGCAGGCTACCAGTGTGGACCTTCACAACAGACATACAGTGGGTACGGAAAGTATTCAGACCCCTTTAAATTTTTCACTCTTTGTTTCATTGCAGCCACTTGCTAAAATCGAAAAAGACCTAGACCTGGCCATCCAGTCAAACTGAGCAATCATGGGAGAAGAGCCTTGGTGAGAGAGGTAAAGAAGAACCCAAAGATCACTGTGGCTGAGCTCCAGAGATGCAGTAGGAAGATGGGAGAAAGTTCCACAAAGTCAACTATCACTGCAGCCCTCCACCAGTTTATGGCAGAGTGGCCCGACGGAAACCTTTCCTCAGTGCAAGACATATGAAAGCCCGCATAGATTTTGCCAAAAAATACATGAAGGACTCCCAGACTATGAGAAATAAGATTCTCTGGTCTGATGAGACCAAGATTGAACTTTTTGGTTAATTCTGCTGCAGGGATAGGACGACTGGTTGCAATTGAAGGAAAGATGAATGCGGCCAAGTACAGAGATATCCTGGAACAAAACCTCTTCCAGAGTGCTCAGGACCTCAGACTGGGCCGAAGGTTCACCTTCCAACAAGACAATGACCCTAAGCACACAGCTAAAATAACAAAGGAGTGGCTTCGGAACAACTCTGTGACCATTCTTGACTGGCCCAGCCAGAGCCCTGACCTAAACCCAATTGAGCATCTCTGGAGAGACCTGAAAATGGCTGTCCACCAACATTCACCATCCAACCTGACAGAACTGGGGAGGATCTGCAAGGAAGAATGGCAGAGGATCCCCAAATCCAGGTGCGAAAAACTTGTTGCATCATTCCCAAGAAGACTCATGGCTATACTAGCTCAAAAGGGTGCTTCTACTCAATACTGAGCAAAGGGTCTGAATATTTATGACCATGCGATATTTCAGTTTTTCTTTTTTAATAAATTTGCAAAAATTTCTACATTTGTTTTTTTCTGTCAAGATGGGGTGCTGAGTGTACATTAATGAGAAATAAAATGAACTTTTTTGATTTTAGCAAATGGCTGCAATGAAACAAAGAGTGAAAAATTTAAAGGGGTCTGAATACTTTCCGTACCCACTGTAAATGCTGCAGACATGGTCAACCCACTCTGAGCTGGTTGGGCTTTAGTTTAACTATCAGTGTTATTCCTATGAAGAATCTTGAGACCTGAAAAATATGGTGTGACTGGTGGGACATTCCACCCTGAGCTTCAGACCTTTTAGAATAAGGCTGGAATCATGTTTCTGAAACTTCTCCATCAGACCACATGTCCCTCTATGATTCACGTCCTGAGCTGGTTGAGTTGAGTTGAATCTTCATCACATCAAAACACAGAAAAGCAGCTGACAACAAAACATCAGGTTAAACAAAAACAGCAGGTCAAACACAAACAGCGAAGCATATTGACATGTGCGATCATTTCTGATCAGAACAAAGAACATGGAGGAGAGTGAGAGGAGTCAGTGGAGAGAGTTGCGTGTGATATCATGTCTAAAGAGAGAGTCAGTGACACTCTACAGACCATGCTCACACTGCAGCAGATTCACCTGAGTGTTAAACAGTGGAGGAGACAGGCTGAAAACACAGTGATGCTGTTAGATGTGTTCACTGACAGGTTGGATTTGAAGTTTACTACAGAGAAAGATAAATTGTTGCGAATTCACATCCCCAGCTCTGACTGAGACTCGTTCATTTTCTAAGCCATTTAGTCCACACATTGTTTAGGAAGCCTTTGACCATTACTTTAAGTGTTCCCTCATTAAATGTCCTTTACAACATCTCCTGAAGTGATCAGTGTTTAAGCTGTTGCTCTGAATTTCCCTGTCTGTTACACTGACCAACAGTGGAGCCTAAAATAGGCAAGAGTTTAGTATATGCCCTTGGTGCAGGCAGCTGTGTTGTCCACATTATGCTACTTATCTAAAATGTGCAGTTAGGTTGGGAGTCTCTGGAGGTGGACTCAGACCGTGTTGAGTGTCAGGTAGACTCTGCCAGAGCTTTGTAAACCTCTGTTATTTCTCTGAACAACCCAGCGCAATAATATCAAGGTCTTTTTGGAGACAATGTATGAAAATATTTGCCGTTATCCCCCTTTTTACAACATCTTGTCTCCTCTGTATGAAGGCTTCTGAACTCATCTGATTTCCTACACGGTCGGACACAAAGTTGTATAAACCACTTCTTTTCTAGTGCTCCCTTACTACAGGAATCTTATGATCAGTTCATTCTGCAGAAGACTGTCTAACAAAACGCCTCACTCACTAATAGCAACAGGTGAAGTGACGGCTACGGTGCCCGTATACATTCCAACGTGATGCCGTGGTAATAGCTAATGGTAACAGCTACTTCACTTCTTCAGCTAACCAAGGTCGATCTGAACATTGCTACAGTGTTTCTTTAAATGTCCTGAGAGCTCTTGCTATTCGCTTTACAGACAATTTCAAATCAGATGAGGAGTTTGTATAAATAAGTTACTTCAGCACCACGGACAGAGACATCAACACACAGCACAGTGAGGTGGTGGGCTGGAGAGGGAGGATGGAGGTTAACAACAGTTTGCCTACTGGAACATGAGCTTGGCTCTCACCTCTCAGCATCTTGAGTGCTGCTGGCAATGGCTGACTTGTCTATGAATAAACTGGAAAAATCTGTCAAATTATCAGTATCTTTAACAAATATACTCATAATGCATAAAATACTAACGGTATGATTGAATATAAATGAAATAAAAGTGTTAAATAAGACAAGAATTTATAATTACCTGCTAAGTCTGTAACGTATCACAGGGCAAACTAGTCTTTCTCTCATAGTAGACAGTTAAACTGCATCAGTAAGAAGTGTCGACATAGAATCTACATCATTGCATCATGCGGTAGCTGTCCCATCAACCGTCACCGCTTAAAGTCCATAATATGACATTAGCAGAGGTGATGTGATAATGAAAGATTTTATCCTGTTACCACAATACTGCTGCACAACATAGATCAGCACCTGAGTGATCTGTTTCCACACCTTGTTTTCTTGTTTGCCTCTTGTTAAAGTTGTATCACAGAGAACAGTCAAGCTCTTTCCCTCAGGACAGAGATCATCTGCAGAACTGAATCTTTTATCAACCTCCACATGTTGGACAACAGAGTCTTGTTTGGGGCAAGTTTTTTCACCACGTCACCTCTCCTGGTCTGAGTTAGTCTGAAACTAACATTCACGTCACCAGTTTTCTGAACCTTATGAGAAGTTCTGCGAGTGAGCAGCAGAAAAAAGTCTGTGTGTGTCTGTAGGTCAATTGAAATCTGATTTTCATAGCTGTCCCCAAACACCACATGGGCACTTTACACCTTGTGTTCACATTCACATTCAAAAGAGCTTTTAACAGGTCCTGGACCTGCTGTCAGATCAACTTTTAAGACTTTAAATTCAGGTGAAGCCGATGGTTTGAAGCAGACCACTCTGTGGTCAGCACATTAAAGACAGACTGATGAAGTGTTACTGCAGTATCACTGTGTACTTCCTGCTTTTTCACTGGTTAACGCACATTTAAAATGCTCAGTACGACAGCTCTTCAGTAAAGTGTCACTGTCTGATGATATGATACAACATTTCAGAGTCAGGACGAACACGACGTCCACCATCGAGAGGAAAAGTGTTTTTTTTTTTACATTCTGTGCAAAGTTAGACGAAGAGTTGTCCACACATCATCATCATGAGTCATCAGTCTCTATTTCACTTCTGTCTACACATCAGTGTTCAGTCAGCTTTCTTCTATTTACAGTTAGTCTCTAAGACATTAGTACCATTGTCCCCCAGCAGGACTAAGACATTCTTCAGAGGGACAAAATCCACCTTCAAACACAACTCATCTTCACTCCTGGCTCTGAGACACCACGTGCCATTTGGCATTCCCACCTCCTGAGTGTGTGTGTACAATCTCATATAGAACAGCCTTGATGCAGCTGCAGGTTCAGTGTTTTAACAATCAGGGGCAAAAACAAAAATCCTCCATCTTAGCTTGCTGTTGCTCTCTTATTATTTTCCTATAATGATACGACAGTATCTTATCATTTTAATTATTAGATAATGTCACATATTAAATCTTGCAATTTAATCATGACAAATTAGCATCTATCATTGACTCATAACCAAATTATTATGAGAAAAATTCAGATATCACATCATCGTTATAACTTATTATCAAGGTTACAATTATGATATATGTATATATGTACATATCTGAGATGTTGAGATGATGCACCTTTAATTATGAGGAAATGTTTCTGACTGGGTGACATACTGAATTATTATGAGAAACTTTATATAAAAAAAGTCATGATTATAATAAAGAAGAAGAATGGAGAAGAGAGAGGAGAAGAATACTGAGCATGTATAAGAGATAATGCCTCAGCTTAATTATTTTATTAGACTTAATTACAATAAAAGTCATAATTCCTGAGAAGAAAACAGCAAAATAAAGTAAATAAATAAGATAAATGATCAGATTGATCACTGATCAAACGTTTGTAACATCTTTGCTCTTTCTTTGTTACAGAATATTTAGTGTAATTGTTGCAAAGCTGTGCATCAGTTACTGTTTAACTGCTTTAATAAATAAAGATGTATTAATGAGCTTTTATTCTTTCAGTGGTAATGACTGGCCAGTGATTGCATCATATTTTAAGGTGGAAATATTACCTTCATGTTACCTGGTTACTACAGGTTACTGAGGCTGCTGTGATGTTTTCAGGAGGTGGGGGTTTGGTCTCATTTCCAGAATCCCTGATAATCACATTGAACTACCGTCGGACAGGAAGATGAATTCCATCTGGAGGTGGATTTCACCTCATCCTTCAGTTTTAAAAACAACCTGCTGCTATTCAGCTGTCTATTTAAAAGGCATTCAGCAGGTAAAAAAACACAGGGCACACAGTGAAAGAGGAGGGAAGAAGGGAGAGGGAATAGAAAAATAAAAATAAAAAACTGTGGCAGACACAACTAGACAATCACCTCACTTCACTCTGTGGCAGAAAAACATAAAAAATGTAAAAAATAAAGTTTCAGAGGAGGCGGGGCACCGGGTGAGGAGGAGGAAGGCAGAGAGAGAGAGGAGGAGGAGGTCTGGCAGAACGTTTCTCAGTTTCAGAAGAATTTGTCGTCGATGCGGAAGTGTGGTCGCGTCACATCGTCCGGGTTGATGAAGACTGAAATGGATTTCCCAGGATTCTCGGTGACGAGCTGCTGAAGCTTCTTGGCCAGCCGATCGTCTGGCTGGTTCTCGCCTCCAGCGTCAGACTGCGGTGACGGCAGGTTGTTGGAGCTTCCTCGCCACTGCAGTTCCACCGTCAGCCTGTTGGCGGCCTTGGCGTGTTCGATGGTGGTGCGGAGGTGCTCGGCCGGGTCGGAGCGCACCGAGGACAGTTTGCGGGCGTGCAGCATGGCCGTCTCGTCCGACAGGTGCTCCAGCATGTTGCACTGGGGAATGAAGTAATTGGGACACATCTTGTTGACGAGGCAGTGCTGCAGGTCGTCGATCAGGCCGAGCAGGAAGTGGGCGGAGAAGTCGTCCTGTGCCAGGTAGTTGGCAGGGAGGCGGTCACACGCCCACAGCATGATGCTGCGGAGGTGGTAGGGGCTGATGGCTTTGGGGCGGGAGAGCAGCTTTATGATGATGGCTTTACAGGCCTGGTAGGCCTGCATCAGGCTGGACGAGATGCACTTCTTTAGCTGCACCTCACTGCGGGCGAACGACAGCCGCCACTCATTCTCCTTGCGGCCTTTGTAGGAGCAGGCGGGGACAAGGTAGAAGCCGCTGATCACCTCCTCCTCAGTGATCTTCCCATCCCAGAAGTGGTTCTCCATCAGCCAGCTCTGAGCAACAGCCGGCCAGCCTTTAAACGACACCACGGGGACGATGTCGTAGAGCATCCGGCTGCTCCCAACACCCAGGATGACGGAGATGATGGTGCCGTTCCTCTCCACCTTCTCCACTCTGGGCATCCCTCTCTGTGGCTTCTTCTGCACCTCCAGCAGCACTAGGGAGATGGACTGGTAGAACCAGTCAGCCACTAGCGTCGGAGAGAAGAAGTAGTTGGTGGTCCCGCTGATGTGGTCGACGATGGTGCAGCAGTCCTTCCACTTGTTGATAGTTCCTTCATCAAAGAGGCGCAGGCTGAGCCAGGAGTGGCCCAGGGCTGAGTGCCTCATGTCCAGGGTCACCGGCTGGTTGCGGTCATGGAGTTTGAGCGCTGGGACCAGCAGAGTGAAGTCCATGTCGTAGTCTGTGCCACGGGCGTAGACGCTCAGCTCGTCCAGGTCCATGTCCACCACACCTTCCCGAACGCCTCCCGAGAGCAGGAGGTACTCATTGGCCACCGGGAGCTTCTGGTCCAACTTCTGGACCATTCCTGAGAGACAGAGGACAAATGACAGACAGATAAAGAATTACAACATGTTATACAGACACAAAAAAAGCGAGCACACAAAGTGTTTTTATTGTGCAACTGCATCTTGTTCAGGTGTTTCCTGTGGATCAACAGGTTTGGCATGGGGGCAATATGGACCTTTGTCTGTACCAATGTTTGGCCCAGATGATCTGGTAATGTGAGGGGTTTACAGATCCAGTCTTTAAGCTTCCAAAATACTCATAGACTCATCTGGGTCGCCAAATAAATTGCTTTTCAGAATGTGTAACAGCACCTGACACCTCCTCCTCCCACACATTCTAATGTGTCCAACAACTTGTACACACTCAGAAAATGACAATCTGACAATCATAGAGACTTTGTACAGGTAAGAAAGTAAGCTCTAAGCGTCTTGCCCCTTCTGGCTGGGTTTTCACCCTGCCTTTGAGAGGGGCCAATCGAGTGTTCAGGCCACATTTTGTACGAACTAGTTGGTATCAAGCAGAATGCAACAAAGTGACAAAACAGCAGCAACCATTAAAAAGACAGGTGGTGAGTAAACTGTAGGCTGTGGGCCTCTTCATTAAGAACTATTGCACATTAGCATTGTAACCATCAGAGAAGCAAAAGGTCTTAAAGCATTAAGCAGAAAAACAAAATATTACAACCAAGCAAAGCAATATTTTGTTTGGTTTATGTTTTTTCTTAAGCCTAAGGTTTGTTTAGTGTCCTTCTGTTAGGTGACAACAGAGACAGTTACAGTAAGTCTTCACAGTGTGTTTCACCATCATCATCATCATCATCATAGGAAGAAATGTGTTCGAGGCACACAGAGAGTGAGTGTACTGTGAAGTCCTGCTGCTGTTAACTGATGGATCATGTTGACGAGCTGTCTGTTTGGGACTCTTCAGGTTTAACACAGACATGATCAAATCTCATTGTGATCAGGTTTGCTTTGTTCTCTGTCTGTTTCAGACCAGATCTCGTTTTGGGTCAGGGTTGGTTTTCGGGTCAATTTCTGGGTCAGTTTGGAAGCTTGAAGAGTCTGGACTGCATCAGACTGGACAGATCATTGTGTCCACCCTCAGTATTTGGACTGGATCAGTCTGGACTGGTTTTCTGCTCTGCTGAGCTAAAAGTGGAGACACACACACTTCCTGGCTGATGACTGCATTCCTGTACTGTAGAGTGGACACACACTGTTTGTCTGGTGGTTTTCACTGGTTCTCACAGTTTGAACTGAAAGACTGGATCCTGTTCTGGATACTTGTATTTTGTATTAGTTGTGTTCAGTCTTCATCTTCCTGCTGATGTGTGAGCTGACTTTAACAGCACAATAATCCATTACTACTAAACCTTTGTACAGCAAAACCAACAGGCCTTTAGCCTATTAAAGATAGAACTAACTTCACATTGCTGCTGATTTTTCCCCAATATTCCATGTTTACATTGACTTTCTTCTCTCCGGACAACCACTGATTTCACTGACTTTACAACAAAAAAATCAACCTGCAGGGGGCTGACATGTCTGTGTGTGTACTACAAAGAATCATACCCACTCAGACACTCTTCTTATTGGACATTTATATGGACAGAAAAGTTGTGGGCCGAACCCAAATGCAAAGTTTTTGATTAGCCTGATTCGGGCCCATGAAGTGAACATTTGAGGAGGTGCTTCATTCAACACGAAACAGCTTCTTTACCTGATTTTTTCATGAGCTTGTGGTTCCTGGGTTTTGTTATCTATAGACTTTTTCTTCATTTTTTAAAACTACCCAAAACCACAGATGTTGTCCCATTAACACACCTCATCTAGAAAAATGAATTAATTACTTAGCAACTGAAGCTTTATTATTCTCTGTTGTGGTGTAAGAATCCAATTTAAATCTTTATGCCTCTGCACCGACAACAGCAAGAGCTGGAGACTTATTGTTTTCGGGTTGTCCATCAATCCGTCTGTGACTCCTTACGTGCACATTTCCCATTGTCATGGATGCAATATCTTAGTAACGCCTTGAAGAAACTTCTTCACATTTGGCACAACTTTTCCCCTGGATTGAAGGACGAACTGATTAGATTTTGGTAGAAGGTCAAAGGTCAAGGTAACCGTGATCTCACGTTCTTGTGAATCTAACATGTTAGGGATGCCAAGAGGGAACTTCATTACTTCTGGCACACTGTGCTCTCACAAAACATGTTTTTGGCCATAACTCTAATCAAATTCACTAATTATGACACAAAGGTCAACTTCACTGTGACCTCATAATGATCAGCAAAAATACGCTGTAACTCAGGAAGGAGAGACTGTGACCATATTTCCTGGCTGATTTCTTGGCTGGTTGGTTGAGGAAACAACCACAAGGAGACGATTCTAGTTACTTAAATATCTATGATGTTGTATTGATTACATCTTCGGTATGGATAACATTTAGAACATCAGTGGTTTGTGCTCCTGTCTCTTGTCTTTCTGGAGTTTAGAACAAGTTTTAAAATTAATGTAGAGGTCTGCAGGTCATTGAAAACAACCTGTATCCTGGAGAAGGTCTTTGATTACGGTGGAGCCGGTGACATACAAGACGATATCATCAGCATAAAAATGGACATCACAGAGCTGAGCTGGAAAATAAATATTATTCATGTACAGAGTAAATTGCAGAGGGCCAAATACTGACCCCTGGAGGACACCTCAACCAACTGGGGACTTTATTTGAAACCACTGACAATAGTTACTGACTTGAACGTGTATTGAACAAATGTTATTTAACACAGTAGTAAAAATACCACAATAAGCATGGCCTCTGCCCAGTTACACTATAGTCCAGTAACTACAGAGCAGTGAGCTAAACTCCTACAACAGCCTTAAATGGTGTATGCTGTATTTTTTTTTTACTTAGCCCATGAAAAGAACAAAACAATAATGCATTAACTGGTCAATCAGCACTTTCCAACTTCCCCATCAACTGTTACTGGACATGAATTTTTAAAATGCATCATGATTATATAGTTTAATTTTACAGTAAGGAGGATAGTGAAAATTTACAGCAGGGGAGTGTGTGGTTTGATCCAAAATAAAATAAAATATCCATGTTCATTACAATGAAGTAACATGCCACCCAGTGCAGAAGTGAGCCTCATTAATGCATCTTTAAAAGTACTAGTGCAGTGCCCGCTCAGTGTGTCGGTCAGTAGGGGCTAATAGCTTAGCCTGCATTAATCCATCTTGTAGCTTCTTGAGCACATCATCCAAACAACTTGACACTGCACTGCCACTGTCGGAAGACATGCAGAATTACCCATCACAGCAACATACCAAATGTGAGGATGTAAAGAGGAATCCGGGAACGCCGGGGGGAAAAAGATCCATGTTTAAATATAGAGGCTCTGGGTTTAGAAATCCAGGCCCTCTGATCCAAACACTCAAATAATTTGATTTAGTTTAAAAAGCACAGTAAATCAAAGTTGCTAAGTGTGCAATTCTCAACACAATAAAGCATAAAATCTACCCTGAAATCTTGTGCTCAAACAACTAAGCTTGCCTAACCCTAACCTAACCTTTGCAGGCATGTGCATGCTGTAAATTGTCCAGGTGCTGCACTGTCCTCGTGGTGTAGTTCCACCTTTGCCTTTTCTTCAGCCCTGACCAACTGTTGTTTAATGTTGAACCCTTTTTGTTTCTCGATAACAGCTCAACCAGGTGACACTGCACTTCCTCAAGTCCCCTACAACAAAACACATGAAGTTGATGGGATGAGCAGTGGTCAAGAAAATTGAAGGACAGATGGAGATTCCTACATTTATAATTAGATTTCGACAATAGAGTTGTATCAGATTTAAGTTACACAGGTGATACTTGTCAGTGGGATCAGTTCACTGTTGGTTTTCATTGAACTTGTTGACAATGAGAAAAACACTGAAAATCACCAGACATGTCCTTTAATGTCAAGTCTTATGTTTTACCTGTGAAACAAACGATGGTTCTTCAAGGACACAATTGAACAATTATGTGGGTCCACAAAAACAGGGGTATTATGGGTAACTGCAGGTCCAGGACTCACACAGCTCCAATTTCACCAAAGTTACAGCCATTAAATCCTGTTTTACCCACTCACTATTTTCACTGATCTAAATAAACACTACATGACAAACACAAGCTGTGAAAACATCAGGATGCTTGCTATTCCTTGTCTGGGCATTTCAGAGACTCTAGTTATTTCTGTGTGGACGTCAGACAGGATGAGACAGATCTGTCCACACACTGATGGTTGAGTTTCAGTCAAATCTGAGTTATGACTGAACCAACCTGACAGATCTGTTGGCAGACTGTCAGTGTGTTTAAGAAAAAAAACATGACTAAATTTAAATGCCTGGCTTAGCCTGATGGACATTTTTGCTGCTGTGTGTGTGTGTGTGTGTGTGTGTGTGTGTGTGTGTTTTAATCCAGATTTTGGAGGAGGTCCAGCAACATAATGAAACTCTCAGGAATGTTTTCACTGATCAAATCACACATTCCCGCAGTTCAGCCTGCATGTTTCCTCTTCCTCTCACACCGTCTCAGTCATCATCTCCATGACAGAACTCTCTCTGCTGTTAATAAAGTTGTATTAAAGCAGTGGAGTGACCTCACTCTGTCAGGACACACTGTCTCAAACATCATTAACTCAGCAGGAGGGGTCAACGACGTCTGATTGGATCTTCTTGAGCTGCACTAACGATTATATTAAGGATCAATGAATCATATCACTGACACCTATTAGCAGATAAACTGTGAATACACAGTATTCCTATATATGACTATTCCAAACCTTTACCTTGATTACGATTAATGATCGATTACTTTGGTGCTCATCTGTCTCTTTTTGAGCCATGCTCTTCATATTCAGCAATGTGATTGTGTTCAAGTGATTGAACTAATTGGTGGTGTTACCCTTGGTCTGTATCCATGTTGCATTCACCACTGTCTGGTAGTTGTGACTGATGAGAGCCAATCAGGAGGCGTCTCAGTTTGTGTCTGTCCAGACTACAACACAACCCCAGAGTTTTCAAACTACAATTGCTCCAGTAGAGTTTCCAGAAGCATCTGTTTTAGAGGCTGGAAACTCAGGAGTCGTGTGGACGCCAGGAGTAAACATAGAAGAAGTGTTGTATTTTAAAACTAAATGATAACAGTGTGGATCCAGCCTGAGCCTCAGTATTTGTGCTCATATCGTCCACATCATCAGCTTCACTTTGAGCAAAAGATGACGCATTACAAGCAGCGCCAATGGTAAGAGATGGTATACACTTCCTGTCTCCTAAGAGGGCGTGGTCATTATTGCTTGCTCATGTCAAAACATAACATCACAATACAACACTAGATACAGTTTGAATTATCTGATTTTGTTTTACCTGCTAATTTATATCTGATCAACTGATTACAATATTATATCAGTCTAATAATATTCTAGTTTCCCTCCAAAAACAGTCCAATAATAATGACAGTGAAGATGTTATTACGTAAAAAAAAAAAGTTTTATTTCAGTTCTAACTTTTAATTCAAGGTTGCACGTACAGGTCCCTCTAAACTTGTGTTTAGAAGCAACATCGGCTCTACTGCAGCAGTGAAACCAGAACCAACAAAGATATCTGTGTTCGTGAGATCTTACGAGACTTTGTTGCTGAGACAGAAACAGGTCTCCAATAAAGTAAATTTTCTCCTGATCTGGATGAAAAATGACATTTTGATATCAGAATGTTCGGAAGATCTGTGGCTTGTGAGAAATTGATCCAATATTTATTTCAGTGACTATGAGGGGAAAGAATGATAATCTGTGATCAGGTTCACTTCTCTAATTGGAGTGAACAGACTCAGACCTGCTGCTGGTCTCCTAAAGGGCGCAGAGGTGGAGAAACCCACGGGACACGGATACAGGAAATGATTGTAAGTGCGCCATTTCCTTTCTCAACTGTCTCTGGTCTTATTAACAATCATGAGCAAGATTAAGTCGGTGAGAGGTTTTAATTGTTGGTTTAGATACTTTTTCATTGCCCAGCCCTACCCAGTGATACTATATCATGTACAATCTTTAATGGAGTCTGTGGCTTTAAGCTCAAACTGTTCTTCCTTTTGTAAACGTCTCTGAGGCTGCAGCTCAAAATGTATGACTTCAAGAACCAACTGTTCATGTGAGAACACGTCCACCTATGTAGACATCATTTGTTCCTGATGTTAGCATTTAAGGTGATAACCCCCAGGTGAACAGGTGAACCGCTCTGAAACGGCAGCAAGCCAGAGTGCTGTCTTAGGTGCCTATACTGTACTAATTTTACAAGGTTATTACAGGCCACACTGTGCCTTATGGGTCTAATGAACTTGGGTACGACATCAAGTTTGATTTTAGACTGTACGATAACACTTTCTCAATCATAGGCTACAACACAAGTCAATATCACTGTGCATCATCCATATGTGCTGCTATAGTGGTAAACAATGATCATTTCATGCTGCACTCCTATTGGTTGGTTAGTGGACGAAGGTAGTAGCAGCAGTCACATTGTGACATGGCCATCTTATATTTCTGACAGTGTCACTGAATTTTGTCCCAGACTATCTCTGATTGCAAAACCAAGACAATGGCCATCTTTGAACCTCCGTCCCAGTGTGACGTGGGACCACTGTTTTGGAGCCACGACCAAAGACATCTCCACGTTTCTTTCACGTAGGTAATGCTCTGTCTGGGATTATCCAAAACTGAACAGTGTGTACTCGCCTTTAGGCTGCGTTCAGACCAACTAGCACTTGTGTGAAAATATGCTGTGCTGATTTAAGAGTGGTGTCAACCATTTTAGAGTCACCCAGCACACCTCAAACTGAAGTCATCCGGCAATCACACACATGCAAGCTCACATTCCTGGTAGATATAACATGAATAATGTATTTCTGCTATTTACCTCATGATGAAAGATAATTAAAATGCTATAATTAGTCGTTTTTAAAGCAAAAATGTCAAACATTTGATTTCTCTTGCCTCTCAAAGGTGAGAATCTGCTGTTTCAACATCGTACATCATCACAGTAAACTGAATATTTGTGACAAAACAAGACATTTGAAGAGGACTCCTTGTGTTCCTGGATATTGTGACGGACAGTTTTCAGTGTTTTCTGTTGTTTGTAATCCAAACAATTAACAGAGAAATAGATAACTCATCTGTTAATCTAGCTGGACTTCTTGGACCAGATTTCATCTCCTCACCTGTACTTGAAAGCAACATGTCATTACGGGTAACCCCCAAGCTGTGTGAAGGGCTTCGATATGGATGAAGATATATTTAAAACCTTATAAGATAACTAATCTGACAAACTCTCAACTACTAATATGAAGCAAACGCTCCAAAGAACATGTGATGTCCCTGCACATCAGTCTGCATCAGCCTCACCTGAGCTGTGCACAGGTAGATCAGCCTCAACACCTTCACGGGACAAACACCCGCATCCTCCAGCTCCACACCTGACTACACCTGCCTCTCCATCGACTCTGCGGTATTAAATAAGCCGGGCGCTGGAGTCTAGGGGATCAGAGTGGACATTCTTTAACTGACAGACAGCACCGTTTACCGTAAACCCGTTAAATAACGGTTTTCGCTCGGTTTTTGTGCGTTTCCTCCCTCACCCAGCATTGAGAAGATGAAGTCCTTGGCCGTGTGGATCTCTAGTGCCCGCTGGTCGTCGTACTCCCGCTGGTCGTGCTTGCTGAACTCTTGGATGAGCCGGTTCAGGTCCTCCATGCGGGCCGCCGACCTGAAGTCGAGCTCGGGCCCGACGCCGCCTCCGCCGTGCGGCGGCCTGCCGGCGGCCATTGTGGGGCTGTTCCCGAGGCTGCCCGCCGAGCCAGTCCGACCGGAGAGAGCAGGGGCCGCCATCTTTCCTCCGCGGTCACACACAGGTTTACTACTGCTGGTCCTGCAGCTGCTGGTCTGTACCGAGCCGAGCTGAACCGAGCCGAACCAGACCACACCAAACACAACCACCGGAAACAACGGCTCCACTTCCGCTGCTCACAACCTTCAAAGTAAAGTGCTAGTTCGTTCAGGAGGCAGGTTGTACTGGACAGCAGATGAGCTGCACATGCAAAACAAATAAACAAATTGAGCATTTTCATGCAGATTCATCTGGAAGTCAAAAATAAACTCAATCTCAAACTTTTGTATGTGTTTGTTTCCACTTTGTCCTTTTTTTTCTCTTTATGTCTGACAGTGCTTATTTTATTTTATTTCATTTTATTTTCATGTAATTAGTACCAAACTACATGGTTCTTTCCAGGAAACTTATAAGACGTATGGAAATAACCAATTTATTTATTTATTTATTTATTTTAAATAAGACAGAACACATTATCAAACATGGCTGTAAATGTGACAGAAAGTCAAAAGGCCATTTGGAACTGATGTTGCATTGTCGCCCTGAAAGACAATTAAAATTAAAAGAGTTATTATAATAGGATATAAGTATGGAGAATATTTATAGCGCAAGGTAAGTAGGTGGAGAGTCACAAATTGCAAAAAAGATAATAATGATAAAAAAAAAAATAAAAGTAAAAATTACTTATTTGAAATTTAATATTTAATGCACTTTGGCTGTGTTTTATTTTGAAAGTCCTGGGCGGAAAATTGGGTATGTGTTTTTGACGCAGCCTTTTCAGTGGCCTTTTATTTTATTATTCCAGTGTGCAGTTTTGGTCTCTGTCCTCCAGGGGTCATCCGCCCCTCGGAGCTTCGTGTTGACCCGGAAATGAACGACCTGCTGGGTCGATGGGTCGGGGTCACCGGGCCCCAACATGGCGTGGAGGAGCTGCTCTGCACTGTTCAGACTGACCGGAGAAGACTTTTTACGGAGTTCCGTGAAGGGCGACAGGTGAGCGCGCACAGCCGGGGAGAGGCAGCGTGCTCCGGTAGACAGAGCTCCGCTTCTTGGAGTTTGCTCCGTTTGCGTCAAGAACAGTTTGTTTAACTGGAGTTAGCTAGCTAACGTTAGCAGAGCAGCTAACAAAGCTAACTGTTGTTTGTTTGTGACTGTTTTCACTTATGTCAGTTTCCATGTGTTCTCGTTAGTTAATCGATTATTTATCAGTTATTTATAAAAGTGTTTATTGCTAATGTTCGGTTATAGCTGTCAATGTTAAAGCGGGACGTGTCTCAGTTGTAGTAACAGACTTATGTTTCCATTTCCTGTGTGTGAGTGTTTTTCTTTACCTGTTGTTCTTTCATGACATATACACGGAAGTTTTGTTTAATGTAGCTTCAGTGGTAAAAACATCATGGGGATTTTCCCTTCCTTTATTAGGTTGGATTTGGTGAAAAAATTAGTGTTGTAAGTAAATTTTCTTAAGTTTGGTTTGGAGTCGATTGCTAATAATTAATGTGGAATTTTTCCGTGAATAAAATCAAATGCTCAAAGTAATTGAAGTCCTCATTGCCTTCAAAACAAATAAAAACGGCCGTATCTTGTAACTGGACTGTTTACTCGGTCAGTATCTTTATAAAACGCTGAATATTTTGGTATAAATACAAAATCCTGTCATTTTCTAATGCAGTCACCAGTTAACCCTCATTCATGCCACTTCAGTAGAGCAACCCTAGATAATCAAATAAACATTAAATTAATTGAGTTTGATGGCCATTGCTGCATCACCTGCTTAAATTACCACTAGATTTCGAATAAAATCATCATAGGAGAACGATTTTCAGTAAAATAAATATCATAGACTCAAAATGATATTGGATGAGAAATAAAACTGTACAGGTTGATATTTTGAGTTAAATCAGATCGAAAGTTGTCTAAACCTCTAAAACATCTGCCAGTGAAATCTGATGATCAGTATCTGTTTATCTCCTGTGTATTAATAAACATTTTATTTAACATTCACTGAATGCAACTAATTATTGGTATCATTATGGATTCATCTGCTGGTACAAAAAAATGTCCAAATGAAAAATGCTGATTACAACTTTGCATAATCCAAGGTGACGTCCTCAGATGTTGTTTTGTCTAAACAGTCCAAAATAACAGAAAATAATTTTCCTGTAGATCGGCTAATCGATTAATGATATCAGCTCTGTGTGTGGCTGCAGATGTCCTCAGGTGGTCGTTTCTGTGGTTGAAGTCCTCTCTCTGTCCACCAGGTGGCCTCACAGTTTCCTGCGGAGATGTGGCTTCAGAAAAGCCGCCAGAAAACCAGAATCCAAGAAGGTGGAGGAGGAGCTGGCACCCCCCCACACAGAGTCCTCTGAGGCTGCGATCCAGCGCCGGACCTCTACCCCACACTGTGACCAGCAGGCTCCACCCAGCTCCCCACGGGCCTTCAGTCGGCTCATCAGACCGCTGGTCTTCACTGTGGGGGTAGGTGATGTTTACTTGTTCATGTCAGATGTGACTTCATCAGGTCAGAGGGACGTGACGGGCAGGTGTTAACTCCATGTCAGTTTACAGGCTGCTCCTTCGGCTCAGCAGCCATCTGGCAGTACGAGTCTGTCAAGTTTCGAGTCCAGAGCTTCTTCAATGAGATCAGAGCTGATTGGCTGGAGAAGCTGCATCCTCAGAAACGAGGAGACATCCGCAAAGAGGTGAGGAGGATGAAAAGAAAGATGAGGAGGATGAAAAAACAAAGAGGTGAGTAGGATGAAAAGAAAGAGGTGAGGAGGGTTAAGAGAAAGGTGAGGAGGATGAAAAGAAAACGTAGATGAGGATGAAAAGAAAAGAGGTGAGGAGAATGAAAAGAATGAAGGAGGATGAAAAAGATGAGGATGAAAACAGGTGAGGTGGATGTAAAAACAAAGATGAGGATAAAAAGAAAGGTGAGGATGAAAGAAAAGGTGGTGGTGAGGTGAGGACAAACCTGTGTAATGAAGCTGATTTGATAAGTAGACCTCACTTCTCAGTGTTGATGCATCATGTCATATGTCAGACTGATGGTGGCGGAGCCACTAGTCCTCTTTTTACCTCTTACCTGATTCCTGATTGGCTTTTTGTATTTCAGATCAACCAATGGTGGAACAGCTTCAGTGAGGGTCAGAGGACGGTCACAGGTGAAATGACTGGGTTTTCTGTGTTTGACTGACAGCAGGTGACACGATTCTGACTTCCTTGTCTCATCCTTTTTCCCCAGGGATCATTGCTGCTAATGCCATAGTGTTCTGCTGTTGGAGAGTACCGTCTCTGCAGCGCTCCATGATCAAATACTTCACCTCCAACCCTGCCTCCAGTGAGTCTGTCTGCTCGTAACGTTAGAAACACACGAGCAGCTGGAAAGTCAAAGCAGCAGTTTGACAGGGTGATTTTCGTGGCTGTGTTTGACAAGAGGCTGTTTTTTGTCATCTTCCTGCAGAGACTCTCTGCTCTCCAATGATTCTCTCCACATTCAGTCACTTCTCTTTCTTCCACCTGGCGGCCAACATGTACGTCCTCTGGAGCTTCTCCACCAGCGCTGTCTCCATGCTGGGCAGGGAGCAGTTCCTGGCTGTGTACCTGTCAGCAGGTACTGCACCTGAAAACTCTGGACTGTAACAGACCGGAGCAGACTGTCAGCAGTGACAAGTTCTGGTGTGAGAGTCACTGATATTACTTTCTATTTGTTCAGGTGTTGTTTCCACGTTCGTCAGCTATGTAAGTAAGATGGCAACAGGGAGACTCGGCCCGTCTCTGGGAGCGGTGAGCAACAAAATAAAAATAATTAGATGTATACATATATTTATTTATTTATTAACCTTTATTTATTGACTGATTGATGACTGGGGCTGAATAAGAAAACACAAATGAATGTTTATTTCTCAGGATTTTGTTCCAGTCTTTTCCTATTTGTTGTGAAATCACGAAAAATTGTTTGGTCTCAAGTAAATAAATAAATAACCTTATGTTAAAGTGACACCAGCAGAGAGGCATGGATTCGGCATTTGCATTGTTTCCCTTCATGTGTGAGGTCTTACTTTGTTTCATACTCTGTGTGTGTGTGTGTCTGTGTCTGTGTTTTCAGTCTGGAGCCATCATGACCGTCTTGGCTGCCGTTTGCACCAAAATGCCTGAAGCCAAACTGGCCATCATCTTCCTCCCCATGTTCACCTTCACTGCTGCCAACGTAAGACTCCACCAGAGGTGGAAAAAGTACAAAAATATTGTACTCAAGTAAAAGTACCAATACTTTGATTAAATATTACTCAAGTAGAAGTAAAAGTACTCATCTGAAAATGTACTCAAGTAAAAGTAAAAAGTAGTTCATTTGAAATGTACTTTAAGTAAAAGTTACTTAGTTACTTTCTTTGTGTGGGGTGTGAGGGTAGTAAAAATAGGACAAGGGGTCAGAAATCCAAAACTATTTTGTTTTTTATTAAAGAACAAGTGTAACAAATGTAAGTGCAATAACAACAACTTCACAACAACTGAACTTCTTGTTCAGTTTAAGTAGCAGCTTAAAGTTAGTTGAGCTCATCCATTTAGTGGTACAACATTAAACATGCTTACTCTCACGTTTTCTCTCTCACCCTCATCATTTGTCACTGTTGGTTCTGACCATTGTTTTACTGTCTATGGTTCTGGCGTGTATTTTTCTCCTGTAGGTTGAATTGTTATTTTTACTCAGTAACGGATAGGATTTATAAAGTAACTAAGTACAATACTTGAGTCAAAACGTACTCAAGTAAAATACAAAATACCGATTTTAAATTGTACTTAAAAAATACAAAATACACACAAAAAGTATTCAATACAGTAACGTGAGTAAATGTATTTTGTTACTTTCCACCTCTGGACTCCACCCACCTGGTTCACCTGACTCACCTGCTCTCCTCTCATCAGAAATTGACCCTCTGTCTCCGTGTCCCCGCAGGCTCTGAAGGCCATTGTTGCCATGGATACGGCAGGTCTGGTGCTGGGGTGGAAGTTCTTTGACCACGCTGCTCATTTAGGAGGAGCCCTGTTTGGAATGTGAGATGTTTTTAATGCTCTGCAGCGTCCTGTCAGCACATACTCCACATATAGTAAAATTATCATCATGTTGCTTTTAAACCTCTTTAAATGTAGATTTATGGGTTTGTGTAAAATTAGGAAAGAGATT